CTGTGTTCAATAAACAAAAGTTGAAAAGAAAATAAAAACTTGGTTATTATACATCAAACAACATGAACTAAACTGAAAAGCCCACCCTCCACCCTCCCCACCCTCCACAAATTTTTCACAGCTTGCAAGAAACTCTGTCTAACTCAATAAAAAAATCAAAATCCTCTGCCTGTGGCCATTATTCAGCTAAAATGAGTGGTTAGTAATGAGGTGACTGGGGAATTCAAATAATCTTTAACCCTATGTTTAATAAATATGACAAGTATGTAGTCCATTAAACCTCCAAAATCAAGGAGGCATTTCTCCTCCAAACACTGAAATCAGGCTGAACAGAACATTTAAACTATAAGGAAAATAAGAATAAAAATAGTTTTGCTGTTGTAAGGCTCTCCTGCCAGCAGGCAAGACAGGCAGAGCCACTTAAATAGCCACACTAACTGGGATGTATACTTTCACCCTACATGCATGCATTTTAAAGATCCCTACTAAAATAAATGAATGTCATGCATAATTGCTTACTGAAGTATATATATGTCATTTTTTTCTTTGAAAATGTAATTACATTTCTCAAGAACCACAGTTGTATTTTAAAGAGGTTTTAAGGGAAACAAGGAATAAACAATGAGACATTCAGATTAAGATTTCCTGAAACTCAGTGGATTTAAATAGTTTCCTGAATAAGGTACTCTTCAAGATTATTCATTGTTCATAAGGACAGTGGGGCCTTTTTTTTTTTTTAAGATTTATTTATTTAGGCATACAGAACTGGGGTACAGCCCAGAGGTATAGGGGCAGTGACAGCATTCACCAGAAACAGAAGGGGGTTCCGACCCATGATGTACACTGCTGAGCAGAGCAGTAGGCCAGACAGGAGAGATCTGACAGGCCATGTGGACCACCTACCGGGCAGGGATAGAACTTGCACTCAAGTGTTTGAGGTTAGCTTGCATAGCTTCGTCCTAACCTGTTGCCACCAGGGAGGCCCAGGACAGTGGGGCTTTGATCATCTCCTTACACCTCGTTAAGCCTCAGTGTTGGCATACGTAAAAATGGGGGTAAAATCAGGCTACCAATCTACGAAAGTTGGAGCAGGTTTAAATTTAATGGGTTTAAGGAGAACAACACAACCTGACACACAGAAGATACAAAATCCAAGTCCTCTTCCCCTTATAAGCACCTTTACTTGGAATGAAAAGTCTTCTCATTTTCCAGGAATAGAATAGCTTTAGAAGTGCTATCAACATACATTTTTTAAAAAAGGAACACCACTTACTTTTTTTTTTAAGATTTATTTATTTACTCAGACAGAACTGGGGTACAGGCCAGAGATGCAGAGGGTGAGAGGATTCACCAGAGACAGAGCGGGGAGCAGAACAGGCAGATAGGCGAAGTACACTGCTGAGGGGAGCAGCGGGCGGGCCAGGAGAGGTCTGTCGCGCCATGTGGTCACCTCCGGGGCAGGCGGGGATCAAACTCATGCAGAAGTGGCTTAAGCTTCTTAGTGCTGTGCTTTAACCCGCTGCACCACCAAAGAGGGACCATCACTTACATTTTTAACTGAACTTATTTTATAATATCACCATTTCTATCTTTAATAGTAGCTTCTAGGAAAAACTTGTAAGAGCCTAGAAATCTCAGATTTACCAAACTGATATCTTGGGACACTACTGAAAAAAAATGAAGCAGGCCCTTCCTGATGGCGCAACAGATTAGGACGCAGCACTGCAAGCTAGCCGCAGCCTCTTCAGTGAGTTTGATCCCCTGCCCGGAGGTGACCCACAAGGCGTGGCAGACATCTCCTGACCCCCACGCTGCTCCCCTCAGCAGCGTACCTCGCCTATCTGCCTGTTCTGCGCCCTACTCTGTCTCTGGTGAATCCTCTCACCCCGCCCCTCCCCACCCCTGGCTTGTACCCCAGTTCTTGTAAGAATAAATAAATAAATCTTTAAAGAAATTATTTGAAGGAGAAGTGGAGCAATAGAGACAGTCTACAGGGACAATTACATAAACTATTATATCTGGTAACACTACAATGTGATGTCCTTAGGTAAATGATAAAAATGTTTCGCACAGATTAATCCTGTTATAAGTTTTTTCTATCTGCTCACCTAACTGACTTAACAGAATGTCCACATCAATCACCTACTTGTTCAGTTTCTCGGAGATAGATAATATTTAAATCTTAGGACATTGTCTCAGTATGTATGTTATAACCCTAAAAACAGCTGTAATTATTAGAAGGCAACTTGGAAATCATCTTAGTCACACTTAATTTTTACATGTTAAGAAACACATTTTATTATTTTTTTAAAAAAGGGCAAAAGTTGAGAAAATATAAAAGATAAGGATAAAGATACCACCCAGAAACATGGTGGAAGAAACACACTCTACCTCCCTAAGTCCTGTTCAAATATGTTTATGGGGCTAATGGAGATATGAGAAAAGTTACAAAAGTAACTTAGAGAAGCAGAGGTTGAGATGGTCCCTTGTACTGCTCTCTAGCTCACTAGTTTCACAGTCAACATGCTTTGAGGCTTGAGGTAATTTGAATTTACCTTCAAAAAACAAAGTCATTAAAGCAGACCAACTGCAAAAACTGTAGATTCACAATAGAATCAATCCCAGCCTCCCTGGTTGTGCAGGGGTTAGGTCTCAGGGCTATCACATATCACTGCTGTGGCCAGGGTCCATTCCTGGCCTTGGAGCTGGCCCACATGTGGGGCAGCAGCTCTCTCCTGCCTGGACATCTGCTCCCCTCAGCAGTGTATTTCAGTACATCTGCCTATTTTGCTCCCCATTCTGTCTCTGGTGAATCTTCTCAACCCACTGTACCTCTGGCCTACAAGTCCATTTCTTCTATGCATAAATAAATAAATCCTTTTTTTTTTTAATAAATCTTTTTAAAAGAAAAAACAAAGTAAAATAAATCTTGTTCCTTGTTCTTATATTCTAATTTTCTTCTTATTTCTTCAAACACAACCAGACAGGAAAGGTTGGAGGAAAGTTATCCACCTACTAAGCTAATGTAAATCTCAGAAGTATGTCTAACACAAGGCAAAATTTGAAAAGCTTCCCAATTCAACTCCCAACCCATTTGGGGATGGCTGCTTTTCCACATCTGAGTGTTATCTACAAATACCAAATATTCTCATTTCTAACTTCACAGGGGTGTGTGAAAATAACTGAGAAGTACTCAAAATTTGTATGTTGATAAGCAGAAGAGGAAAAAAATTATAAGGTAACCTGTCCGAGAGTACCATCAGAAAGTTGTATGAAACTATTTGGAAGTTATATTTCTTGATGGTTGAAAGAATAAATGTGGTTTAAAGAAGACTGTCTTGAAAATGAGAATCTGAATGTTTCCCAAGTAGAAAAATATTGGTTTTCAGTCAGACAGCCAAATAAGTTGCAACCGGTAACAACTTACCCAGCTCAAAAAAAAAAAAAAAATCTGTTGTCTGCTGATACTGATATAAATACAGAGAAGAAAAAAAAAATGGAATTAATCAATGACATACTTTCAGAGTAATTGAGAGTACCCTACTTTATTTTAGACATAACAGCTCTTAAAAGTCTATTCATTGTGGCTCGTGTGTAGCCTTGCAACAAATACCTTTTTAAAACAACCTCAACAATAGAAAGGACTTTTTAAAAATTTATCCTGAAAAATACCTGTTCTCAATTTGAAGCCTACAATAGATGACTTGAAATTTAAATATATATTCCCAGAATCTAAATCTACAAAACTGAAAATCGATTTTTTCAAATGACATTTAACACATAAGGGCTTTTTTTTTTTTTAATTTCAGCTTCATAGGCATTATAACAGATTTAATCAGTGAAGTCTGTTAATAACTTATAGCGAAATCAATGCTAAAAAATCAAACTTCTGGTTGATCTAGTTTTAACTCCTCTTAATTTTACACACTGTTTTATGAGCCCAGGGACTAATTTAGGCATCTTATTCATCATTCCAGCGCTAGCACCTCCCTCAGCAGTCCTCAGTGGTTTGCAATGGAAGCTGTCTGGTCTGAGCTGCACGGAAAATATAGCTGCAAAATATTTTTATGCAACAGCAAAGACAATCAGCCTATTTTTTTTTCCTCAAGGTGGAGGTCTAGAAACGAAGTGAGAACACTTGGGAGCACAAAATTAATCTGTTTTAACTTTAATAACCAAAGGGTGATTTAAAAAATACAGACTTCTCATTTGCAGGAATACAGGGGAAATAAGAGGAAGTGGGGGAATTACTGTATCTACGTTCTAGTGTGCACATAGCAAAACTAATAAAATTATGACCCAGGATTAAGAGGTCACATTCATTTCAACATACACATTTCTAAGTACACAGAAGTACGCTTTTTAAATGCTCTAAGTTCAAATAAACAGAGCAGGAATATGGCTACCAGATATTAATCATGAGGATACACGTTCACCTTCATACTTAGACCCAGCAGGTCAAATGTTAGTAAGGTAAACTGAGAGAAACCGCAAAGACATTGAAAATGATCAACAGAAAGTGGCTGTCAGTCCCGGTAGCCCCGCTGGTTCCCTGCACAGCCAGCGATCAAACATCCGGCAGGCAAAGAAACCTCCGCGCACCAGCCTGGGAAAGGAGAAACCAAACTTTTCTAAATAAGTTCCCTCTTGCCAATTTAAACCCAACAGGTGTCAGCACACGTCATCTCACTAAATCCTTCCCAACAAGGTGTAGAGAAGCAAAGCAAAGGTTAGCCAAGAAGCTGAAACGACCTGGCGCTGGCAGAGCGAGGAAAGGAATAAAACCGAGCACCTATTTCCACTGATCACCTGGGACGTGTACGAGAGGGAGGGATGGCGCTGGGGAGGCGCGCGAGACGGCCGGCCACTGCCACCGCGGGGGACCGTCCACCTCGGGGCTAGGTTCCTGTGGGGGGTCGAGTCCTAGCCCTTCCCAGCTAGGAGAGCTGGCGTGAGCTGCGCCGGGAGACTGGGACCCCGGGAGGGAGGGCGTGTGGTACCTGCTTGTCCAGCGCGTCCCGGGAGCCACCAGGCCCGGCACCAGCTCTGGGCGGCGCGGGCGCCCGCTCGCAGCTGCAGCCCTCCAGAAGGTACATGCCCGCCGGGCGGCCGCTCTGCTCGCCCTCGAAGTAGAAGAGCACATTCTGGTAGAGCGCGAACCACTTCTCGTGCCAGCGGCTCGCCTCGGCGGCCTTCTTGCTCAGGAAGCCGCGCTTGGTGCCCTCCTTGCGGGCCAGCAAGGCCAGGTACAGCGCGTGCCCCTCGTTGTAGCGCACGCTCTTCTGCATGGCGAGGGCGCCGGGGGCTCACCCCAGCCTCTCGGCCATATCCTGGCCGACTTCCCCGAAGGCGCTCGCGCTCCGGGCCCCGCTGGCGAAGGGCGCCCCCTTTCCCGACGCAGCGTACAGGGCACCCGCCCGGCCGCCAGTCCGCGCGGCGCCGCGCGAGTGCGAGGGGCGCGGGGCTGCGGCCAGGGCACGTTCTCGGGGCCGACGCCGCCCTCCTGGCAGAGCGAAGCCCTGCAATCCCACGCGGGCGTGGGGCGCGGCCCGAGAGCGCCTCGGCCGCCCACTGCTTCGTCCCAAAGTTGCGGGAAGCCGAGCGCCCGCGCTGGGCTGAGGCGGCGCCCGCGCTGGGCTGAGGCGGCGCCACGCGCAGCAGCCTGAGGAGGGCTGTCCTCGGGCAACTCGCTCCGGGAGACAGAGGTGAGGCGTCACGTGAGAGATCAGCAGTAGCCGGCTGGGGGACCGACTGAAAGGGCAAAGTCGGCGCGGCGGCGGCGATGACGGTGGCGCACCCGCTCACCCCGACGCGTGTAGCCCTCGCCCGCCCCGGGCCTCGCGGCCGACTCGGCTCCCGCGCCGCGGCGGGGCTGATCGCCCGAAGGTGCTGGAGGCGCGCGCGGCAGCACACAGCGCTCACACGCGCGCTCGAACACTGCGCGCACACACGGACGCTCACACAGGCACAGATGCTCCCGGGACACGCTCACAACACTCGGATGCTCACATCTGAGCACATACCCACATGACTCTCACACTCAAACAAAAAAATACACAAACGCACAAATATAGTCCCAACACACCGCATGCGCACAAATACATTTGCACAAATACACACACGCAACACACATACAGAGAAAGATACGCCTTCACATACGTACAAATACGAACACAGCCTGCACTCCTACACACGAAATTGCAAATCCATGCACAAATACGCACACAGGCAAGCGTACACACAGTGATATGCTCATGTAAACCCTCACATTTCTACATACACACCCTGTGTTTTATGCACTCATCGAGCACACCCACAACATATACACATAACAGTCATACAAACGACATAATTACACAGCCCTGCACACATTTATACTCACAGTCATACACATGCTCACACATGCAAACATACACAAATATCTATAGAGAGACACAGACAAATGTACAAGCACATTCATTCAAAAATATACATAAATACATGCTCATACCCAAGCACTCACAAATGCGAATTCAACACTTTCACAAGCCTACTCACACATACAACACACTCACCCACCATAGCCACTCACTGGCACTCAGCAGCTAGTGTGTTTCCATGGCAGTGGGTGGAGACACAGGGTGGTTTTGCATAAAGGGCAACCTTGACTTTTCTGCTTGTGCACGGGCATGGTTGTATGTAAAACACTAGATGTGGATTATGGACTGCGACCCCACTGACACACCTAGGTAGGTGTCAGAGACTGTCAGGTGCCTCTCAACCGACTGTGATTAACCAGGATTAAGATAAAAGAAACTAAATTTTAAGCTTGAAGTTTTCAACCAGGAAAAAATTAACCCAAATAAGACTGCTCTTCCTGGCAGAATCTGTCCCCAGAAGTCATACTGTTTACCAGATGTCCTAGGACTGGAATTCATTTGATAAACAAATTAAAACCAGAAAAACCAGAAAACCAAGACCCCTACTATAAAATCTAAGTGGGAAAGAAAGGATGTGCCCAGCAGCTGTGAGAGAAGGCAAGTGAAAGTCCCAGGGAGGGCCTGTATTAGATCCTGCTATATACAGTTTTTTATGTCCCTTAGTCACATATCATAAAAATGATTTTCCATAAAGTGTTTATTGTTTAATATAAAAATCTTTTTCTGGGCCATGAATCTTGGACAATACACCTGTCTTGTACCACTAGTTGTGTGTTCATAAATTGGTAGCCCAGGGGTTCCGTGTTTTTGCAGAATATTGTAACTGCTTCACTGAGCAGTTTCTTCCATTTTGCCTTAAGAAAAACCTTTCACTATTGAAAATTCTACAGAGTAAAAGGGTATTTGCCATTTGAAATTACCACATGAGGACAGTGGTCATTTCTCTTTGCATACTTTTAAATATCTCAGGCGCAGTGCTGTGCTAATTTGGGTTTAACCCAGTTGGGAGATTGCGTTGTTCTGGAGAGGTGATACAACTATAGAGACAATGAGTAAATGTGGACTAGGTTTTCAGCCAGATTCTGGACACAAAGAAAATGGCAAATCCTAAGGAAAGCTTTTTTATTTCCTTCTCTGTGGTCCTGTCCCAACTCTGAGACTCTGAGTTGACACCTATGTGGCTGATGAGTTCCGTGTTTGAGTGGAAACCATTAAGGATGTGAATTCAACATAAAAGATATTTTCAGTGATATTCAAATCTCCTAATTATTTGTTTTTTCAGATAAAAAAAATTCTTTTCCCCAATAAGCAACGTTTCTGGTGTTCAGACTAATTTCAACGTTGATTTATTATTTCTGGCTACTCAAAGATTCTTTGATCTCAACCACGTGAAGCATTCTCAGCTTTTTTTGTGTCATCATTTTGGGTCCCTATCAGAAGATGCTTTAAGCGTGTGACAGCCTTTTGTTCCTTGCTTTGGGCCAATCGCATTTAGTAGACTTTTACCCATGAGGGGATGGGTAACTTTTAGGTGTCTGACTTAGAAACTATGTTCTTTATGTTTGCTGTATTGCACATTGATTGTATTATAAAGTTCCTTTCCATTAAAGGTCTTCTATGTCTTGTCTTGATGCGGCAGATGGCAGAATGTATTTAGAGCAGGCAGATTTGGGGTTTCAGTGGTTCCCCTCTCTCCCTGCCCTGTGTGTCACCCTCACCTTCACCCTGACAGTGACAGAAATGAGCTCTGGTCCCCTCTGGACTTTGGCTGGTGACCATTGTGGGTTTTAATTATAGAAAATTGTGGTGAGACTAGTTATTGATCACCTCTTTATGTCCTCAGCACCATATTAAGGTGATGTGGAGGAGATTCAGAAAAGCCAGTGTTGCCAGATCTGGTGTGTTCAACCTAGTAGGAAGAGGATTTAATGTTTAGTTGCTTCTCACCTGATTATCTGTTTCTCCAATCTGATTATCTGTCCTTCTAATCCCTGTACCAGCCAGTAGGAGAGCTTCTAGGCAGTAGACACACAAGTGATTCATAAATGTTTTAAAATTAACTGAGTGTCATTGAATTGACAAAAAGGGCACACGCATTTGCAAATTTTAGATCATTTTGCAAGTTTGTAAGAGAACCAGCAACCCCTGGACAGTCTAAAGAAACTATATCCAGTGAGTCTCCGCTGTGTACTTGTGGGCTTTGCTTCCATTCATGTGGAAACAGCATGCCTGCAGCAGTGCCACCCTGAAACACAAAGGGCCAGGAGGTTATGTAAATGAGGATGCTCATTTCCAATTTATCAAATAGGTTAGCAAAAGGGGCTGGGCTGCAAGTGTGAAGGACAAGTTGTGTGAATTCATTGTTTTCCCTCCTGCATTTTTCTTGAAGTCTTTCCTGAGAGGGTCAGTTGATCTTTGAGGACATTAAAGCGTGTCTCACTGATAACAGCAAAAGTGTCCTCTCAGCCATTTTCCAAGTATTTTAAAGGGAAAGAAAAACAGCAATGAACTCTCATATCTGGAAACTCTAGTTACTACTTGTAGAAGTTATCCAGGCAATTTGACGGAAGAAAGGGGAGGGAGAGAAGGAAAGAGGGGGAGAGAGAGAGGTGGGAAATTTTCCTTAGTTGTCCAAAGCTATTAAGATTTAGGAACTCATTCTACAGTGTAAAACCTAATCAATAGTTTTTCAAAACCCCTGCGTTTAGGGATGACCCACTGCTGCAATAGAATTTGCTACTGAGAAAGACCCTTGGATAAATATTAGCAAGGCCATACAACTGGTAGTGTAAACCCCTGAAGCACATGTTGTCACTGTCACTGCCTGTCCATGTGGTCTCAGTAAGGCCATCTTGGCTGTCAAGGCCAGGAATCCCATATCCTGCTGTGACTGCACCAAAGACCCATCCAGAGCACATTTTTTTTTGGTGACTCTGAGTCAACACGATGAATTGGGTTTCCCCAGTGCTGCAGGAGCAGATGCAGATGGTGGAGGGCTCAAGCTGCATGCCTTTGCTTCAACTAGGCTCTGAACGTTTTGAAAGCTTGGAGGCAGAAGTGGGAAAGGAGTGGCGGAGGCTGTGGGAGTGATTTGAAAACTACAACCAATTTTCTGTCTCCTAGGAGCTGGATACTTGAATTCCCTTTTGGTGCAGAAATTGTTTCTTCATAAGAAACCCGTGAAGAGGCTCCTTAGTTCAGAAATATGAAGCAAATGCCCTGTTATCATTCAGTAGAAAACAGAGAAGGAATATGAATAGAGGTATTTTGGCTCAGAAGCTCAGTGTTCTTTTATAATAGGGGCTATTGCATCTCTAGGAAGAGGCATTCCTTTATCTGCTGGCAGAGAATGGCAACATTTATAAATAAAAGCACGATTCTTCTTTTCTGGCATGGAGACGAGTCATTTCTTAAACTATTGTCACGTCACTGGATTTGGATGAAGGGATTCAGGCAGGTGTAATGGACACCCCCTTCAAGGCCCAGTCACGATCATCTCTGCCCTCTCTTCTAAGAGATCCAAGTCCCTGAGTCACTGCTTGACTTCAAGTGTTTATGAACACATGAAATTGTGACACAGCACAACATAAAGTTGGGTTGTGTCAGCCACTGAGAAACTGGATTTCTTGTTACAAAAACTGGTGTTAGTTCCTCTCTATATTTCTCTATGGATTTAAAGTTCACAATACCATAAACTGTTCTTTGTAGTTTTTATTGGTTTATTGTGGTATAAGTGACTTTAAAATACTGCATATATTTGGGCCCTCCCTGGTGGCGCAGCGGGTTAAAGCACAGCACTGAGAATCTAAAGCCACTTCCGCATGAGTTCAATCCCGCCTGCCCCGGAGGTGACCACATGGCGCGACAGACCTCTCCTGACCCGCC